CTGGTGCAAATTACTGACCTCTGTCATCATTTTAAGTGGGGGAACTTGCACAATCGGTGGCTGACTAAATACTTTTTTGCCCCACTGTAACTATGAATATTCTGTGCATGTCCAGGATGAGGGCACAGGAAAAATATTCAACATCATTTTAGATGCCAGAATTAGATTTATGACCTGTTTAAGTAAAATAGAACACATTTCCTGTAAAATTAGCAGTAAAATTACAATTTACCTCTGTTTTAAAATGCTTTTATAAAAAGAAAATTGCTCCCAATCTGTCCCTCTTATCCTGGCACTGTATAACTCTGTCATATCTTTGCGGTAGCTAATCCTCATCGTCCTTACATTCGAGCCCCACTAGGGGACTTTCTGCAGTCTTTCTCCCAAGCCGTTACAACTGAACAACAAACTCACCTAAGTACAAAATGACAGTTGCAGTTCATAGTCTGTGATCTATTTGGAATTACTAGGACTTCTTAGGATGTTTATCTGAATCACTTAAGCTGTTCCATATCATATTTTCCGCAAAAATACCTATATAGTTTTTTTTGCAACAGGAAAATATTGTATTGCGAAATCATCATAGTAATGGCATACCCTTAAGTTCCCTAAAGCATACAACAATTGAAAAACCCAGGCATGTCTGAGAGACCCACAAGAGCCACGTCTCAGCCTCCAATGACTATTCAGAACCTAACAATGAGCTACTTCCACAATCTCCAACAAAGTACTTTGCAAAATATGCAAGAAAACCGTTTCTACTGAAGATGGAAACAACAAACTTGTTTCACCAGTTGAGGCAAAAACACACCGTCAAGTACAAACAGGCTATGAAGGAGGAGATGCTAACAGAATGATGTGCAACCTAAATGTGAACAAATGACCGACTGTCGCTGTGGCACTCACTAGCTGCACTCCATATGACAGGAAGCGCAAACAGAGTATGGAAATTGATGATGTGGGAACGTGGTGGAAAAGCAGGGCTTTAAGCAGCTGGTTAAAAAGCTCGACCCAAGACACGGCATCGCAGGTAGAAAATATTTTTCTATTATTTTATTATGTGACAATACTGTGCAGCTTCTGAAGAGTTGCAAGGTTAAGTTAGTTATTGTTAAGCAGTTCATTTATATTTTGACTTAAAACTTAGAGAGAAAACATTACTTAGGCTACTATTGCGCTTGACTTATGTTCTGCCACCAGATATAATGCTGTCGCCACTATTGCACTATCATGCAGCTGCTGCTGGCACCTTGTTTCAATAGATTCATATTTCAAATTAGGAAGTGTGTCGTCAATGACAGTAACTCAATGGAAAAGAAAGATACACTTCATTTACTCACACTGCTGCTGCCTGCAAGCTGCGAACATCAATAACATTTTTTGTTTTTTCTGAAATATTGTATCTCGAATTTTATTCAAATATTGCAATACGATCTTGAGGTTATATCATCCAAACCTACAAGTCTAGCTATAAGTCTAAGACTTATAACTATATAAGTCACAATCATAGAAAGTGTTTTCTGGAAGTCATCACTTAATGAGTACAGAGTAATCACTGACAGCACAGGCAGAAAAAGCATGTGAACTTCTCTCCTGCTGTTTTCTCCAAAAGCTATTTGGAGTAAGGTGTTCCAGTTACTGAGGTGCTCTAATAGAAAAGAATCGGAAAAGAAATTGTTTTGGATGAATTTCCCTAAAATTCTAACTGTTTAGGTCTAATGTCATTATATGTTTTAACATGATTTACTCCGTGGCCAATTTTTCTCATACAAAATTGCTTCCTTGAATTATTTTAATTTCTAAAGATAACTGAAGTAAGCATGACTTGTATGAGAAACATGCAACTTGGGATGGGATGTTTTCATTGAATAAATCATAGTATTCCTATGTGATATTCAACATGTACATTTTATTAAGTTTTTCTATTTTTCAAATGTTCAAATGTTTCAAATTTGTGAGACCACTTAGATGTTCTACAACACATCTGGAGTTATTTTCTATGGATCAAGGAAAAAGGTTTACCTTTAAGAAAAAGAGCCTGCAGATCACCTGCCCCACCAGCAAAACACCACCTGTTAAAGAGGAACCACCATGTTTTAGAGCTCCTTTGCTATCTTAATGCCTGGATGTCCTGCAATCAGCAAGGAAAAAGTGAATATCAAGAAATTTTTACAAGAGGATGACATAGTAGTAGTCTACGGCCAGAAGGTTGGAGGAGGTCGGGTGATGCAGTAAGACATAACAAAAATATAAATATAATAACAATTAAAAAAAATAAAAATAAAAGAATAGAATGGATAAAAAGGAAAATTTGTGTTTTGAAATGTCAACTCAGAGTTCTGACCTTAAACTAACTGAAATGCTGTGGCATGACCGGAAGAAGTTTTTTTGGTCAAGACACCCAGAAATATTCATGAGCACAGCTGAACAGTTTTGTAGTGAGAAATGGTTGAAAATCCCACCATATCATTGTTTAACTCTGATAATAAGCTACAAGAAACAAATGATGGCGATACTGCTGCTAAAGAAGGTTCAACAGACTATATTCAAGGAAAAAAAACCATACTTTTTACAGATTGCACTGCAGTTGCTTGATGTATTCACTAAAGAACAACTATTTGTTTTACAAGTTTACTCATACTACATTAGTCTATAATCGTGATTTAAATGATGATCAGACCAGATTTTATCACTAATTACTGGAGAAATTCTGGTCATTGTAAAATGTTCTCAAAAACTTCCTTGCAGTTGTCTTTAAAAACTGGATGAAAAAAACACGGCTCTCTACAAACAGAAAGGCGGGGGAATACTGTATTATTCTGATATCCTGAGAGTGCGACCTGGTGATTTACCATCTCCAGTCAATAAAAATTAATGGCAATCTCATCAATGTACCTGCCAGTTCCTGACAGAGTAAATGCCTGTTTTAAATGGAAAAAGTCACAAACATTACACTCATATGCAATTTAAATAATCTAATTTCAGTGTAATCTTCCTCAATGAAAAACCAAGGGCATTAAAATGGAGTTGTCCTGGTCCTTTTCATTACAACAGCACAATCAGACAAACAGTGAGGGAAATGACAAACAGATGAGGTGGAAAGTGGAAATGCTGGTTTTTCTATATCTTATCTAGTAGCAATGGCTGAGGCGTTTGAAGCCACCAAGAAATACAGAATACATACAAAAAGGTGAATATTTTGTAAGTATTTTGCAAAGTGTGCATTATTTATTGTTTTTCAACCCTTACCACATTTTTTATAACAATGGAAACAGTTTTAACCATGTGTCTCAAACTGTGAGCTACTAGAATTTTGTCTCTTTTTTAAATGTGTGAATGATGAATTGCTGCTACAGTTTTAAACAAAGTAAAAAAAGCAAAATGATTATTATTCCACTGATAGCTTCTCTTCAGCATTTTAAAATACTCGTGTTTCACACCCTGTGGAAATTCTGTCATTACCAATTGGCCTACAGAGAAACTAAAACTTCTATTCCTCTGTTCAGACTATCATAATACATCTAGAGCCGATTGGAACTTTGATTGCAAGCACCTCTTTAAGCTCCTCGTGCAAAGGTTTGGCTAATGCAAATCTGCACGGCTGACAATGAATCATTTTGTTATAGGCTTCACTGAACGAACAGCTTGGCTGCTGTTGCTGAACTTTTTGTTCGTGCTCAGGGGATACTTTCTGTAAAACAGCTCATGTTTCTATACAGGTTTTCACTGGCAAATGAATGCAACAGGTTAGTAGAGAAAACTGGCAAATGTAGTTCTGCAAGGATTCATAATGAAAGAGATGCAAAATCCCAGATTAAAAGTAACCAGAAGAGAACTCGATGACTAACAAAGTTTTCTAAAGAACAATGCAGTGCATGGTCAGCATCCTGTTAAATTACAGGCAGATACTAGCCTCACTTTGAACCTCTTATGCATTACCAATAGATTCAGGTATAACCATCCATTCACCACTTGCAGCAATTTTCATTTTCAGAATTTGGCAGGAGAGCAGATTGCACTGCAAAACTCGTGCTGAACTTCTTTCTCAAAAATACTATAAGGCAGGCAGAGATTGTTATGCAATAAAAAAAGATTTTTAATATTTCCCGTATGCTCATGCTGCTGCAAATAACCTAGAATCTATGAGAAATTCCATGTATTCATTGATGAGGCTTGGCTATCTAAGCTCACAAGATGTACTGAGAAAAAAAAGTATTAATAGAACAAAAAAATAATACAAATCAGAAACTCCCAACTTCTCACTCTAAAAAAAATTTCACACTCAGTCCTTGTCCTTGACAAGAAATACCTGTGATTGGTCAAAGACTATTGTGAAAGGCCACATTTTTCTAAAGCCTGAAAACTGATGCAAGAGGAGATGCTGGAGTCTAAAACCAAGCAAAAAAAGATCTATCCATGTTTTAACTAATGAAAAAACAGAAAAATATGGTGAATAGTAGAAAATTGTTTGTAAGTCTTTTGTAATTAGCAACATTTTTATTCTTTGAGCATTTTGAAAGTAACATCAGAAGAGCAAGTAAATCTTACCCCTGTAACCCAAATCTATGCTAATACATGCGAGGCTCTTACTAAGGCTAGACGAGCACTAAAATTTGCCAGATTCGTCTGTGAAAGCGTAAGTCCAATGTTAAACTATCAAAGTATAAAGCAGCTAAAGCAAGCAGTATAATCTCATATCAAAGCCTGTTTTCTGAAAATTGTTAATTCTGTGTACTCCTTCACAAGGGGATGTATTCAGAAGCATGTGCATGGAGCGTGCTGGTCAGAAACTATGGTGGTGAATTCTTCAAGATCTGACCTGAGAGCTCCACTTCTGCTGCTTACACTCCATTAGTGCTTCGATTCTCTGCTCCCATTTGCACCAGGCACCCATTACCTGCAGCTGACAAAGAGAAAAGATGGTGTTAATGTACTGCAGAATATTACAATTCAAATGACCTATACAAAACAGCACAAGTGCATGTCTTTGACATTTGATATTTGGTTCTCATCCTCTGTATATGACTGACAGCGTTTGTTTCAAACGGTAATACAATTAAATCCGATTTGAAAACAAACAAACTTAGCACATTTGGTTGATTATTTCTTTGTTGTAACAATGCTTCTTGACAAGAGTCTGGGAAATGCATTTGTAGGCATAGAGCAGAGTTGAGTATGTGGGTTGCGCCCATTAAAATCTTCTCTGACAATGCCAAATAGCTTGTTTGGTGTCATTTATTGGATTAGATGATTGAAGTCTGAAGAAACGGCACATAATGGCAATTTAGTATTTTATTCATTTAATAAACAGGGACATATGGAAGAACCATACATAGCCACAACAGTCTGGCACCTCCTCCACATACTGGTGACCAGCTTGGTCACACAATGCTGCTCGATGACGTTTGTTGCAAGTCAGCGAATGTTTTTGTGCTAGTCACTATGGCTCAAACAGCATGCCCAAGCTTATCCCACAAGTGTTGAGTGGGGTTGAAGTCAGGACTGCAGGCAGGCCATTCAATCCTCTTCACTCTGGAGGTAGTTTCTGATAAACCCTGCCCTGTGGGGACGAGTGTTGTCATCTAGGAAGATAGAGTTCGGTCCAAGACTGTGGAGATATGGGTTTTATACTGGTTTCAGTCTCTCATTTCGATAAGTCTCTGCATTGAGATTGCTTTCAATGATGACAAGCCTTGTTTTACCACTGAGCGAGATGCTGCCCTACACCACACTGCCTCCACCAAAAGCAACAATCAGAATAATGTTCTCCACATTATGACTCAAAAATCCCACTGCCAAAGATAGAATTTGGATTCAGTGCTGAAGTTAACGTCCCCCCACAACACCAGCACAAAAGGACCAGATAGTGAGAGGCAATGGCAGACCTCCTGGCAGTCCTATGAGACCGGAGTTTGGCTGTGTGCACTCTTTTCTGGATTGTCTGGGTGGAGACTCGTCGGCCATATTATCTTGCAAACCTTGACTGTAAATCTGTAGAAGTCTGCCTAGGGTTCCCAAGTTCTGAGAGGGTGAGGAAACAGTCTTGTTGTAGTGCTGTCTTCTTGGGACACTTTGCGGCTTGTCTCTGACATCATGTCTTGTTATATGGAACTTAGCCTTCATTTTGGAGATGGTACTAAAGTAAAGTAGTACCAAGTAATGCTACAACTTGGTTTTGAGGAACTGTAGCTTGAAGTTGCCTTGTGGTATGGCCCTAACCAGATGTTTGGCAATGGCAGAGACGATTTGGCAAGTTTTTCATGAGTGCAACCCAAACACTCAACTCTGTTGCTTAACCCATAAATGCATTTTTCTTACAAATGTGGCACCATTTACGGGGAAATAAACAGGCCTTTCAACAGTATAATATTTATTCCCAAGAAACATTTTTACAACAAAGATAAAAAATTTCTTTACTTTTTGTGCTAAGCTCATTATATTGATTTCTATTTATTCTACCGTAACCCTATAAAAACTGATTTCAAGTTTAATTCAGTTTAGTTCCTAATGGACATAATTAAATCTACAGTAGCCAAAAATCTAGTGAGCAAAAAATGCCCGAATTTAAAAATAGACAGCCTGCAGTTCCCCTACACCACTAACAGATCAGCCCAGGCAGGTGCTTAATTTGACTAAAATTGAATTGGTGGTCAGATTTCCTTCTTTTTTTAATCCAGTCTTCTAGATGAAACTAATCCACTTAATCAACTGGGATAGGCCAACGTAGCGAGTCGTGACTTACACTGTCTAAAACCTAAAAACATACCCCAGAGGAGCTGCTGGAGTCTGGATTCTCTCTCAGACTACATGAATTAAAATACATTTTATCTTTTTTTGATGAAATGATGAATGTGTTACATGTTTTAATTCCAGAAACAAATGACAGTATGTTACTGATAAACTTACTGACTTACTTGTTATTTGATAAACATGAGTGAAATGGTGGGGGATTATTATGGTCAATGATGGCTGTAAGAGTAGTATGAAAACAAAGAAATTACGGGGAGCAGGTAAGACAAAACAACAACAACAACATTTCCAGCTGAAAACACTTAAAAGTATGACCATACAATACAAACAGTCTGTCTCCTGAAGATTAGCAACAAGTGAAACAGTCCCCTCAGAACAGTCAGCGAATAAGATTTTTTTTTTTAATTTTTTTTTAATTTGTGTAGTTTTTTATTTCCAGATTTTTTTTAAGAGGTGGCAAGAAGTATTTTATTCTCTATGGCTTAGAGAATAAAACCAAAGGCATCCATAAAATCCAGAACGTTGGCTGCATATATTTGTGAATTTGACTATTTGCCAAAATGCTTGTTGATTCCACTGCTACGATATACATCTTCTATATTATATGCAACTGTTTGTGAGAAAAATTGCACTCTGCATAAATACATTTAAATTTAAAGTTAAAAAAATTTGCATTCTTAAAATAACGTGGTTTTTAGTCCTATAAATATACAAACACTTTATTTCCACAGCAAAGCTACACAAGTCTAGGTCAGATGGCATCAGAAAACTGCATTTAATCAATATGAACCAACAATGGGATGCAAATTATTCAATGTGCTTATCAAAATGTTGTTGTTCTTTAAAAAAAAATGACACAGATAGGTACATGAAGCATAATGGGTTTGAGTCTGAGGCCTACTGGAAAAAAAATTACACAAAAAACCTTTGCTTAGCAGGGAACACAATACCTGACTCTGCCGCTCCTGGGCCTGCTGAGTTGGACTCTGTAGCTGTTTCTAATTTTGCTGCATACGACTGTTCCTCTCGAGATCCAGTCAGCTCTCGTGTAGGTCGGGCAGCAACTGAGAGATCCTTGCTTCAGGATGTCCAGCTACTAAACCACAAAGGAGGCAGGGCGCCGAGAAGAAGGGAAAAATCAATCCAGTGCACAGAGACTACACTGTCTGTGCAGCCAAACTGTTCACTCTGTAGCTAAGGCTAAAATGCGCCATGGTTCCGATTCTCCAAGGTAGATACTCAAAGATTCTCACATGCAGGCAGAATCCTGTGCTTCATGGGCAGGCCTATGGCTTTGCTAATTCTGTCATGACTATAGCAGAGGATGAAGCTTCATTTTCTTATTTAAATCTAATGCCTCTTTAAACAAACATTTCAAATGCACACACCGAATTAGTAAACAATGCAATCCAATAGCTTAGATGGAACCTTAGTCGCTGCATTGCCTTAGTCTTCAAAAAGGACAAGGCTAAAACTGTCTGAGCAAAGATTCTCTCACACAAAAGATTTCTGAACACAATAACTTTTAGAAGATAACACAACAGTGTTTAAGTGTAACAATATGTGGAAATCCTGAAGCAACACACAAAACACAACTGCTTCAGCATGAAGTCTCACAAGGATAAGACAGACTGTAAAACAGGACACAAACATTTCCCTGACCAGTAAGAGTGGCAACCATATTAAACAGGCCGCTAATTAGTATAACCTTCTTGTGCTAAATCACAAGAGGTGAAGGCAAGGAGGGGGGAGAGAGAGAGAAAGAGAGAGAGAGAGAGAGTGAGAGAGCAAGAGAAAGAGAGGAAGAGGAGGGAGCTTGGGTGAAAGGAAGGGAGGATAGCAAACGGAAGACAAACAAACCTAGATCGTAGGCTTTAGACCAGTCTGCCTGATGCTGCTGCAGTGTCGCTGATGCAGAGGGAGTCCCAAGCAAGATGGAGACTCAAACAAGACCCAGGACAAACCATACAGAATACTCCATGAAACCAATCAAAAACAAGAATTAAAAAAATATTTTATCCCCATTCCTTTTTCTCGACGAAGCTCTGATCTCATCTCACTGTCCGTTATTGCTTCTCGGAACAAGTCAAACAAGTCTGACGGTTATTCCTGAATTAAAGATAAAAATTATGCAGAAATCCATTTCACGAAATCGCTTAAAACGTGTCTCATCCGTTAGCACTCTCTTTCTGTGTGCGATCCACACCGATAACCCTGGTCTTGCTTTCTTTCTCTCACAATCGCTCCCTCTCTCTCTATTCTCCCCTCCTAAACTGATCAATACTTCATTTAAATCATGACATTAGCACACTACTACAGGAAAAAGAGGGCGAGAACAAATACAAACGAGCATCTTATTTTAAGCGACAAAGTAAAGGATGTTTTATGTCCGAGGACTTCAAGATATGTTGAAAATATAATGCGAAAAACAGAGTACATGCAAGAGTATGGGTTGTACTGCTGTTTTGATTTGAGGTCCAGAGCCTCACACTGATCAATACACATTTAAATTGAGGCTGAGAGAACCATCACAATATCTCATCTCATCAGAACAAGGCAAACATACTATCCCAATTATCATCTCAAATGACTAGTGTCAGGGGACACCAGTTGGATGCTGATAGAGGCATATTTCATATTTATTCAGCAGAATTTTTACATTAGCACCTGAGCGCATAATTGCCTAATATATATGCACACTCACACTTTTATCTATTCACATAATTCACAATGAGCACAATCAATACTGCCCTTTCCATACTGCACCACACTCATAAAGTGCGTCTGCATTAGATCATATAATAAGCCGTTCACAAAACCCCAAGCAAGACTGACTAATTTCCTGGCGCTCACTGAAATTGTGAGCCATAGCAACTGGCTAATCTTCCCGTGCGTCATTAAACCCGGATATTTACCTGAGCAGCCTCGGAGTCACGGGCCTGATGACAGGAGCAGCACAGGCTGTTTCAGTCTGTGGACAGTCTCATTCCTGCTGTGTGGCTGAGCAGGGGACGACCAGATCCGGATTTCTCCATTCCGAACATGGGTGAAGAGAGCCGAGAACACAAGAAAAAAGAGAAGAGACAGAGGCATACCGTAAGCCCAACACTAGGCGGGATGTGGTAGAAAGCCAAAGTCGATCAGTCAGGCGAACAGCACTTACATATAGTCTGGCGCCAATGTTGACCAATGAGCAATTAGGTAGACAAGACTAAAGTTATTGATCGGGGGTTCAGGCTCTTTTCTCTGGGCTAACTAGCCTGCCTGAGGTTGTGTGATGGCTGCTACAGATGTGGACTACAACACAGAGAAACACAGTACAAGAGAAAGTGGGAGGAAGGGCAGGGCAGGTCTTTTCCTCCCCAGGCCTTAAGCCTTTGAGTTAGACAACAGACATAATCATTTAGACTGCTATTGATTGCCACAGGCTTAATAAGGCTTTGCATCAAGCAGTCACATACAAAAAGAAAAGGCACTTAGAAGAATCCAAACATCCAATCAAAGATATTATAGAAAGCAAACAGCTACTGTCACTGATAGTTTGCCAAGACTGTGAGTGTTGTGTTTCTAATTTCCAGGATAATGAGAGAGATTTAAGTCAAGAAACCGGAGATAGTTTGCCAATACTTAAAGTTGGGAGTAAAGAAACAGAAGAGAAGTTGCATTTTAAGGTATGTAAGTTCTGATAAGTTACCTTCAAAAGACTTTGCTTCAAATTGATAACATGACAGTACACCTTTAGCACATTCTGGATAACACTGCAAGATGTAAATGTATTTTATGAAATTCATAATATCAGTGGAGCTTTCCCACAACAACAGATGACATAGAATCTCAGAGGTATTTCAACAATGATATAATTTTGGCCTCTGTACACCACCACAGTGGATTTTAAATTAAATTGTCAAGATGTGATTAAAGTGCACTTTAAGCTTTAATCAAAGGGGTTTAATGAAAGTATTACATTAACTGTTAACAAAAAAAAAACTACAGATATTTTTTATATATATAATCCTAGAGTTTCTAATTTTTTCAAAAGTAAAATATAAGGATTGTTTTAAGTAACTAGATTACAATTTTTTGCAGTCAATGACTGCCTGAAGTCTAGAACCCATGCTGGATTTCCGCCAGTAGTTTTCACTTGCTATAAAACCTCTATTTACATTAATGAAGACATCTACTAATTGTAGACAATTGTGATAATTATATACCTCAAAGTGTTCTATACTTTGACGGATGTTGTAAAGGGATTTTTCTTAATCAAGGAAAGAATTCTGCGATCATCTAGTTTTTAGCTGTTTTCTGTTTTCTCCACTGTATCTTTTCAAGAACGTACCAGATTGTTGATTTGGGTTTTCAGACTAATCATCTCTGCCATCACTTGCATCCACATCTATATTATAACCTCTTACTGAGGGTTCCAGTGTAAAGCTATGAAACACAAGTTCAACACTTGGAATCAACTCTAGATATTTTAGCATCTTAATTAATAACAGAATAATGAGGGAACAGGTCATATCTTGCCATAAAGCTCTCAAACCCCTTGAACTGGGGCTGGACCATATCACAGCTACCAGGGCGAGAGGTGGGCTACACCCTGGGCCATCTTGACTTACTGATCCTAAAATCAATCTCATCACCCTCATACAATACCGATCTTTTAAATTGGTACATTCCTGCAAGATCACTGAGGTCTGCGGATCAATTGCTCCTGGCTGTCCCGAGGTCCAGATTAAAGCACAGAGGAGATCGGGCCTTTGCTGCGACTGCTCCTAAACTGTGAAATGAACTGCCCCTTCACATCAGGACCTCCCCAACATTGGACACTTTTAAAGCCCATTTGAAAACCCACTTTTATTCCCTGGCTTTTAAATCAGAATGAGTTTGTATTACTGTTAGTTTTTTAAATTTCTCACTCAAATCTTCTAATTTTATGATTCTTATCATATCTACCTATGTTTTTATTTATTTTATTTATCTTAATTGTACAGCACCTTGGTCAACAGTAGTTGTTTTAAATGTGCTATATAAATAAATTTGACTTTGACTAAAATCCATTGGAGACAAAATGACAAAAAAGTGTCATCGTCCAAAAACTTCTGAGTGTATGCTAACTGTGTATGCTAACTGCTAAGAAAAAAAAAAAGAAAACATTCATGCAACATCTGCACAAAAAAAAAAAAAAAAAAATCACTGACAAAGGTACTTTGGCTTTTATTTATCTGTATGAGTGTCTTTTACATTTTTCTTTCTTTCTTAATTTTTTAATATAATTTACCAGCAAAGCTGTTAAGCAAGGGAAAGTTAGAGCTAATGGTATTATAGCTAATACCACTATCCAACAGTAAGGTAATTCCGTTTGCTCAGCCCATATAGCTGTATTACCACAAAGCACTTTAATTCACTACACTGAAGTCAACCAAAATCATACTTTGCCTGCTCACTTGAGTTTGTTTTTCCTTTCTTATACAATTTCAGCAGCAGGGCATTATAAACAATGTTCACTGCCATATATGTCTTGCAAAGAACTAGGAAACACATTGAAAGAAATGATTTCAAAAACACATTTCTGTCCAACTTCCCTTCTTAATAGATGACAAGACTATAAAGGCTGATCCATCCCTCTCTTTTGACATTTGATTTAGCCATATTATTAGATGCCTTTTTTATTTTATTATTTATTTCTATCCATCCATCCATCTGTACATCCTTCAATGCCAAGGACAAATCAAGACTACTGAACTGGATTTTAAGAATGAGTATTTTAGGAAGAGGGGTACGATTGAAAAACATAATTCTAAAATATGGTCATACAAATGTTTCTGTTATCCTTTTAGCAGATAAGATTATCATGTTCATTAAGAAGATGATACTGAGTGGTTGTTATATATTTGCCAGAATGAACAAGCATTATATGCATAGGTAATGTTTTCTTCTTTTGTTGTCGCGTGTGCCTTTATATGCACTCCTTTCTTGCTTTTTGAAAATCAATTCCGCTATTTCAAAAGAGAGAGGCATGATAATGAAAGGGCACATAAAAAAAACTCTGAGGCAATTGCTCATTCCTCACACCTTCCATTTCCTCTGCATCAGAAGGACACCTTTAATATTTGGACTTTCAACGTCACTCTAGGCTAAATCCCTAGCAACCACCATAGCAACATACTCTCAGTTCAACGTGAAATGCATGGTAAGTTCCCTGCTGCCACCAGCCAGAGGAAAGAAAAAAAAATCTGAAAAAAAACATAGATGTGGTTGAAAGACCAAAATTAAGTGGCTCGGAAAAGATATAACAATACCACAGAAATATTCATATCAATAATCACACATGATCAGATTGAGTGAAGTCAATACTCCCCCCCCCGCGCATATACCAGTTCTTAAGTATAGCACTGCTGCTAAGCAGAGGGTGCTATAGTTTGTGTGACTGTGTGTGTGTGCTTTTGCATACACCAAAAAAAACCATGTATGCAATGTGTGAGTAAACCTGTATAAATGTAGGGTATTTAATCAGTATTTTATTTGTGCATAGCTTAAAATATTCATATCATATGTTAATTAAAATATAATAATATGATATAAGAATATTTTTGTGTACAGATATCGTATCGATACAGAGACACCAAATATCGATATGGCTGCAGTCGATCTCAGAGAGACTGCCAGTCTCATCAATCAGCACAACTCAAGGGGACGCACCTGGGTGCCAGCTGGTTCTATTCTGGTGATATTCACAGATCACAGACTGCTTAATAATCTCATTCTGCAGCAAAAAAAAAAAAAAAGTAACTGCAATAAGATAATAACCTTATCTTACTGGATAAAACAGATATTGACAAAGATTATCTTTGCAGACATAATTTGCAGTTTAAAAAAAGGTAATAAAATACAATATGTTTTATTGCTATGCTTAGCATTTTGCAAAAGGTTAAAATTGTGTGTTTAACCTCTAGAACTAGTATATCACCCTGAACAATATTTTTAAAATTTTAAACTTAAGTTGCTGCTTGGAGATCTGATGCCCAAAAGGAACATTTTTAAGGGACGGGGCTAAAAGGCCAGTCAAGGGGTAACAGGAGCAAAACTTTCTGTTGTTAATCAAGAAAACAGATTCCTAAGGGTGATTTGTTCTATGACA